TTAATCCCATTCTACTCTTGTTCTTCTTTAATTCCATTCTACTCATGTTCTTCTTTAATTCCATTCTACTCATGTTCTTCTTTAATGTCATTCTACTCATGCAGTTTTTTAATCCCATTCTACTCATGCTCTTCTTTAATTCCATTCTACTCAAGCTTTTCTTTAACCCCACTCTACTCATGCTCTTCTTTAATCCCATTCTACTCAAGCTTTTCTTTAACCCCACTCTACTCATGCTCTTCTTTAATCCCATTCTACTCTTGTTCTTTAATCCCATCCTACTCATGTTCTTCTTTGATCCCATCCTACTCATGCTCTTCTTTGATCCTATTCTACTCATGCTCTTCTTTAATCCCATTCTACTCATTTAGGTGTAAAACAGATTAGGCTGTTGAAATGTGTGTTTTATTAGTTTTAGCTAACATTATTAAAGAAGAACAGTGAACTCTTTGAAAACTTTCGAGTTTTGGGTCTCGTTTGAAAACCATTACAACTTTTGTATGTAATCCTGTGTGCTAACTTCTTAATCAGAATTATTAAAACACAAGTATCCTACATTACAATAATGTTAACCTTTTGTGCTAATATTATAGAATACAAACATTCTATTGATGTCCACCTTTGGTGTTGCAATGATTAATATACAAACATTTTACAATGTATTCGCACTCTGTTTTACTCGTAAATCTTACTACCGCGTTTCACAAACATTATACATACTGTGTCGTACTAATGAAATACAAATACTAAGCCTTATCAAGGTGTGTTTACACTTCAACGACTTAGCGTCAACATCTATCGAACTATAAGAACGCACTTTGCTATGTACACCGACACGCAAACTGAGACCTATTCTCGTGTAATGACATTGCCAAGTGGTGTATTATTATTATTTGTTTGTTCCTTAATTAATTCGTGGTTCAATAAATAATGTAGGGTAACAATGTAATGAGGAGAATGTATAATTCTTATCTCGTTGAACAAAACACGCTGACAACCAGAGTTTGTTATAATACTGTTGCTCTACCAGTATAAACTGATTCCACCAGGCCGTTTTCTCATTGTCTTCTTGTTATTTGGTGTCGCGTAACAATACAAGTGCTACTCTTCGGTGGCGTGGTAATCTACCTTTTTGGTTTCAGAAGTTTATATAGTGTTACGACAGCGGAAGTCACGCGACTCTGGAAGCATGCGCACTGGAGTTTCTAGAAAGATCATGTCTCATGTCTCTTTCTGGCAACTCTAGTCTTTTCTACGCGCCATCTATTTTAGTATATAAGCAGGCAAATAAAGCGAGATAATTAATTGAATTGCAGACAGGCAGAGATAGAGACGGACAACTGAGTCAAGCGCGGTAGTGACCGTAATTAAAGTGCGTGAATCGTTGTGAATTATAGCGTGTCTTCAAGTGAAAGTGGCTGTGGAAATTCTGTGTATTGCAAAGTTGAATTGAGAAAGAATAAACTAGTTTTATTTAAGAAAGTACTTGTATCGCTGAAGTTTCTCGGAAAGAATTTCTACGGAAAATTAACAAACGACCAGAGACGTAACAATAGTTTAAAATTCTAACAATAGGAAAGATTCATGAACGTTTACTTATACTAGTTAAGGCAAAACGTGGAATTGTATATATGATCAGTAGGATATAAAACAAACAATAATAAATACAATTATTCTGTTAAATACATAACTTGAGAAGAAGACAACAACAAAGCTTTCACGAGAGAACTGTTAACGAAGTAAAAAATATATATTACCCAAAAACGTTTGTAAATACATAACACTTATTAGTAGGCAACAATATAATTAAAAGCTGATAATTTCTACTAGGGTCCAGTGTTAGTATATCCGGTAATAATGTATATCTCCGATAAACAAATCGCCGGTGACAATGTCTCCAGTAATAATTTTATAGCTAATAATGTCTACGATAATAATGTCTACGATAATAATGATCCCGGCTGTAATATTTCAAATAATAATAATGGCACCGGTAATAATGTTTTGAATAATAATAATGATCCCGGTAATAATATCACCGGTAATAATGTTTTGAATAATAATAATAACCAAATCGCCGGTGACAATGTCTCCAGTAATAATTTTATAGCTAATAATGTATCCAGTAATAATGATTTCGGTAATACTGCCTCCAATAATATTGTCCACAATAATAATGTCTCCGATAGTAATGACCCCGGTATTAATGTCTACGACAATAATGATCCCGGCTGTAATATTTCAGATAATAATAATGGCACCGGTAATAATGTTTTGAATAATAATAATGATCCCGGTAATAATGTCCCCAATAATAATATACCGGTAATAATGTTTTGAATGATAATGATAAATATCACCAGTAATAGTGTCTCCGCCCCCCAGTAGCACAGCGGTATGTCTGCGGGCTTACAACGCTAGAATCCGTGTTTCGATACCCGTGGTGAGCAGAGCACAGATAGTCCATTGTGTAGCTTTGTGCTTAACTTAAAACAAATAATGTCCCCAATAATAATATCACAGGTAATAATGTTTCGAATAATAATAATGGCACCGGTAGTAATAAGACCGGTCTTTGATAACAAAAGGAGGGGTAAGTAGAAAGGCATTCATAGAGTTCAATACCTGGCCCGTAATGTCCTTGACCTTTAAGCTAAGTTCACCAGAGAGTAATCATTCACTATTTCCAAATTTGTTCGAAATCCAATAAAAATATTTAGCTATGCTATTCACACACACAGAGAGGTAAGAGTGAAAACAATGCCTCTATCATCATGATTGGATGATAATGTTTACAATAATAATTACACAGTAATAATGTGCATTGTCAACAACAAAATATTAGGTACAAATCATGAACATGATTTGATTAACCTTCCTCATTTGACATTTATGTTGTAATCTTTACTGTCGCAATCCCCCCCTCCCCCCATGGATTCGTTATTACTAGTTTTGTTTGCTATTAATGTATTAAACTATCACTTAAAATTTTCAACCGCAAAAAAAAATGCTTCAGACATCATTACTTTGGGCTATTTATTTGTGACATTACTAGCTGTTTCTCAGCGGCAAAATGGAGTTTTTATACATAGACAGCCCCTTGTGTAGCTCTGGATTTAATAATAATAATAGTCCTAGTTGTTGATTTCACCTTAGGGATGGGGTGGTTGGTTGGTCAGGATTTAATGACGCACAGCACTAAGGCTATCTGTGCCTCATCTTAGAGAACCTTTATAGTGAACAGAGAAACTTCCAAGGTTATGCTTAACCTTGAGGTCACACAAGATAAGTAAATTTTATACAAAGATCCGGGGGATCTCGTAAGCGCAATAGCAGAAATTGAAACCGGCATAGCCTTATTTGTTTTTACCCGAAGGTCTTATCAATTGTTTAGCACGTGTTACAGAGTTGCCTTTTTATTTGAAAATTTCCTTCTAATAAATACTTTTTTTTTACTATTCTTATCTAATTTGCCCCCCAGTGGCACAGCGGTATGTCTGCGGACTTACAACGCTAGAATCCGTGTTTCGATACCAGTGGTGGGCAGAGCACAGATAGCCCTTGTGTAGCTTTGTGCATAATTAATAACAAACAAAAAAAAATGGTTGAATGATTATAATCACCTGTGGTGGTCAAGAGAGAAACACTGAAGAAGGTGGCGCCAGTGAAACTCCATTTTGTCTGAGCAACTGAGTTGTCTCGGGATTTGTATCCTCGACGGTAGGCTTTCAGGAGATCTTTCTCGAAAACATCCAAGTAGTGGAACACAGTTCGAGCCCACGTGTCCTCGTAAGGACGAACTTGTCGCAGCTCAGTAGCAAGCAGAATTGCTGTATCATTTTTCCATTTTGATACTTTGGAATCGTAGGAAAGCTCATGGGAAGATTCTAGGGAGGAGAAAAGAAGTCCACCAAGTATGCTGTAAAGAACCACAAAAGCTGTCAACAGGACAAGACAAAAGCAATTCTTACAATGGTATTTTAAGGACAGAGGGCGCTGTTGTACACCGTGTGACTTAAAGACAGGCTGACTTCTTTTTGAGACTTGATTTGTTTGTGGGTGTGGTGTATGGTTGCTGTCGTGTACGTTAGAGGGGTGGAAATTTTCCTTCGTTGTTTGGGTATCAACTTGAACACTAGATGGCACTGGTGTTTCCGGAGGGGAAGTTGAGAGGGTGTGGAGTTGCTTTTTTTCTGTCTGTTCTTCCATATCACACGACTTGGCTCAATCCATACGT